TGGAGGATGGTGGCTTTGCTATATAAGTAAAGAGAACAAGCTCTGAACAGGTTATGAGGGAGAAGGTGCTAGTGTATTTATATAGCATACACACATTAATCCTTTCTAGATTTCAATTCTTTCGTTACTTGGCATGATAAAGGACAATCGTGTAAGTGGAGAAGGGTAGAAGGCGGGCTCATTATCCACTGAGTTACGTACCACACTCCACTAGCTCTAGGGTATTTCTTGGTTATCAAACATAAAAAAAGGACGATAATGGGTTTCCATTCTGACCAAAAAAATATTCAATGCGGCTTCCTATGTAACTTTTGTCAGTTTGTTGATAAGCATATATAGACAAGTAGCTTCTAGAGTCACTAGTTTGTTATTTTTAGTCCTTGGCTCTTTAGATACTCTTTTCATGCAGTACTTCCTCTTTTGATCTGTGACATGTCTGCCTTAACCCCCTCCATCCACACCCCCTCCGTGACATGTTTGTCTTTAATTGGACATAGGTGAGGGTTGCTGGTGCTGATAACGAAGCTGATGCAGCAAAGATTGCTCGTTCAGTGGCGGCTTCTTCACTTGTCAAGGTATGAAGTGAATTTACTTTACATATCTACTTGGAGCAGTCTCGAAAGTATGTTTAACTGATTATTCCATTTCTAATGTATAATCAGGCTGCTGTATACGGTAGGGATCCCAATTGGGGCCGTATTGCTTGTGCTGCTGGCTATGCAGGGGTTCCTTTCAACTCCGACAAGCTTCGGATATCACTTGGAGATATTGTGCTTATGGAAGCAGGGCAACCACTTCCATTTGATAGGTATGGAAAATGATACCCCACATTTGTATTGCTTTATTAGGCATGGGCCCTGGAATTGCCTTCTCGTATCAGTTCTTATCTCAAAAGGGAACTATCATGTATCTTAAAGAGCCGGCTACAAGCACGCTAACCAACTCATTTTGGTTAAGTTTGGATGCTACTGTCATTTTCTGACCAAAACCTATCCAATTCCTTTAGCTCTTATATATTTAACTAGTTTTTGGACACGTGCTTTGCACGTGTATCCATGCTAATCAATTTTGAATTGGTATAAATAATATTAAAATATGTGTATGCTATGAATTACACAAAATTTGAAGGAAAACATTAAGTTTAAATAGATGAATCATTATTATACATTACACGTGTATCCTGAGTTATTTAGTGCCTATACTACATAAGATTATGGAAACATGTTTTGATTAATAAAAGATAAACTAAAGAATACAAAGAACATCTTTTGAATAACCATTTTATACTTGTGCTAAGCATGATGTTAGTTTAATTCAGTAGTACGCAATGATCTGGGATTAGCAGCTTCGGAGATGTCATGCAAATAAAGTAGTAACAACATTCATTCATTTGTATTTTCGGAAACATAAAAACACTACCCTAATTAATCTGCTTACCATGGTGTGTGAAGCAATATAGTGCAATCTCGATTATCTATTTCTATCAAGTAGAACAAATATAAAATTATTTATCAGCTTTATTTTTCAAGGGAATTTCCCCATTTTATATTACAAAGAAAGAAAGGATATTTTTCCTCCCCAAACGCAGCATATCTTTAACAGGAAAATGGCAAAATGAGCATGAAAAAAATAAAAATTGACAATATGGAGACCACAAAATATGTAGTCACACCTTAACAAGACTAAAAATCCCATAATTAAAATAGCAGAACCTGCCTTCATTCTAATAATGATTGAAGACTCATAGGTAAATTCTTACATTGTATCGATAAATTCTTAATATTGGACTACCCCACAATTTATATTCCATAAAAAAAATCTTTCATTACAGATCGAAAACTCATAGGTAATTTCTTACCGAAAATGAAAAGTCAGGAAATAGTCAGAATTATTTTTAATAGAAAGGTTAAAAAAATGTAATGCTCAAGCTAACATGATTTACATAAGGTCCAAGAAATAAATTTTTGTTATCAAACTTTACATGTGCTTTTGGGCTGTTTTGGATTGTTATTCCTGTTACTACCACATTAGAACACCCATAAAACCTCAGAGCCTGCACAAAATGAAAAATCCACTTAATAACCCTACTAATTTTTGTTGAATGATTTGGTACATGTATATGTAATTGATTTTAAGTTATACACATCGTCAGTGCAAAGAATTTCTATATTATATCAGGCCATCCAAAAGATATCTAAAGGAAAACATTCTTAAAATGTGAGATTTGTAATCTTGAAAATAAGACAGAATATATTCCTGCTTGCTGTAAAGGTAAATATGATCATACAGAAGCAATATCTATTTGCCACAGTTGGTTAAGCTGCAAAATAAATTAACACACTAATTATCCCAAAGAATATGGAAAGAAAAAGAAAACAAAAAACACATATAAAATTGCGTGATAAAGAATAAGGATATCACTATCAGAGAGGGTTGAGTTTCTTCTCTGGAATCATAAGAAATGCCTTGCTAATACCCCATCACGTTTTAAGAATTTGAGATAGCCCAAGCATTCATTTATTGCTGTCCAAGAATTTATTGCTTTTGGCTGTTATAAAACGGTACATATCAACCTTAACCTTTCATATTTCCAATTGGAATATGAACAAAATAAATACTCCATAAATTTACTCTAGCTAGAAATACAAAGAGCACCGAAGTTCCTAAAGAATACCAAGTACAATAAAGTGATATATTCAAGAGACATTATGGTGGCTGGTTCTTTGCACAATATGTAAATCTAGTAAAGTAGTATTTATTTAAATGTACATTTACTTTTTTGCACAAAAATTTTATAGAAGTAATGAGTGATTGAAGGGTAAAAAAATCATCCAAACTTTTGATGGGCAATTTAGTAATTCAACTTTGAACATAGGGGTTTTCCACTTTTAGTATATATATATATATATATATATATATATATATATATATATATGATATGATTTTCCTGCTGGGGATCTAGCCATTATAGAGCGTATGATTCTGTTGTTTGGATATATCTCAACCTCAAATTGGTGGCTCTTGATCCAGTATTCAGTAGGCCAATTTTGGATGCTAAACCTAAAGTACTTACCACCTCATCTGTACACTCTTCCGCAGATTTTTCCTTTCTTTTTTTGTCTGTCTTTTGCTAATTTCTCTCTCTGGACATCATGAAATCTTGGGTCCTTTTGCAGGGTTGCAGCTAGCAATTATCTCCAAAAGGCTGGTGATGTCCACGGCACTGTGGAAATTCAAATATCAACTGGTAAGTTTCACATACATAAACAGGCATATTCATATTGATATTGTACTTCCTCTGCATTGGTGGAAGTATCATGATGAAAGTAAACCAACTCCGTGGCATCGCACATAGCTCTAGAGATTTTACCGAGAAGAGAGTCTATGCGAACTAGTCTTTGGAGAGTGCATTAACTTGATTTTGTTTATAAGATAACGCAAGCTCTGACTCGTCTCCTACCTGCTCTATGATATGCTTGAGGCATTGAGAACAGTATTGGCAAGAAAAGTGCTGTTCCAAGCTTCAAGTCAAACTGATATGTTTTTGTTTTTTGGTGCCAACCCCCACTCCCCAACACAGAAAAAAGTATCAACTTTCCTTGTTCTCCAGTCAAAATTTGACATTCCTACCTTAAATAATTTGAGTGATTTTTTCAATGTCCAAGAATTCAAATAGATTAACTTAATACTACCTCGGTATTTCAGACTTGATGGTTTCTTCACATTTTGAGCACTGCTCTGTCCACCTCAATAAAGGAGCATTTTATAAATCTCTGTGGTAGTAAAAGTGGGTCATATTCTCTGGTTGGGTGGAACAAATCAATATCTGCTCTATATTTTCTCAGTTTCTAGTGAGGCTATTAGTTTGATAGTATCCTCCCTCCAAAGTTTGAAGCTCTCTCACAATGAGCCATGTGTGTTCCTGCAATTCTTTCTTACCCTCCGGTCCCACCTTTCGAGGTCCATGGAAGACAATGCGATAAGAATCTACTATCTTACCTTTGCTTCTATATATTTGCCCGTGCATAGTATCTTTGTGGCATTTGCAAGGCTAAGGCATTATGCCCACTAGTTCATGCCATCACGGATTTGTTTATATCCACTGTAGTTTTTGTGGCTTCTGTCCGTATTAACAAGAATCTTGTACTGCAAGTATAAATAATAGTCTGTGTTTTCCCTGGACAGGTGATGGTCCAGGAAGCGGACTAGCATGGGGCTGTGACTTGAGTTATGATTATGTCAAAATTAATGCAGAGTACACGACATGAAACAGGAGCGGTAGTTCAAAGATTGAAGTCTCTCCTAATAAGCAGTTCCGATTTAGCGATTATTATTGGTTTTGTAGTTGTAAAATCCCTGCTAAATGCAAATAACATGCATGGATACTGCTGTCTGCTGGGACCAGCAGAATTTTGTTAGATGGACAAGCCTTTCTAAAATGTTAATTTAAGTTATTTCACCATTTTCCTACAGAAGTTTAGGCTCTCCATAAAATTTACAGATCTGATAAACTAGACCTCCAAATCTGTACCTTAATTTAGTATACGTTGCTGTGAATAATTTTTTTTTTTCCTTCTTATTTTACTCTTGCACTTCCAAGTTCTAACACCCGGGGTTTTGGGAATTACATCCACAAATTAGTTGGACACTAGCTTGCTATATTCAGAGTTTCAGACATGATTCTTGTTAGGTCCAGCCGCACCACTTATTGGGGCTTTAAGATCTCAGAAAGGCCGTGTTTGGCAATTTGATTGCCAGCCTGAAGCACCAAACTCTCACAAGGCAATACTTCAAAACTAAGAAGATATAACCTTTTAAAAAAAATGCAAATTTAGGCCTGAATCTATCACTCTCAAGCTTCAGGTCATATAACATAACACGAATTGCTAGGTACACGGAACATTCAGGTCGTGGTCGGATTACAGGTTATCATGGTCAAAATCTCAGACTTCAGGGGAACACAATGAAGCAAAAATACTCTTTAACTTTCTAACATGAAATACAGCAAAGCAAAAAAGAGTCATCCATTCACTCACCAACGGCGCAAAAGTTTTAAAACTTGGTACAAAAATGCCAATAACAACAGTCATAACGAATTCCACAACTCAGTTAAGCATCATACTTATTTATTTACAGAACTAGATGGAACAATCAACAGCTCACACCACAATCAAAAAGGAAGCTCAGGAAGCTTCTGCAACTGGAAAATGCAACTTTGTGACAGATTTCTTGAGAAAACTACTCCCACAGAATGGATCCGGAGTGTTGCCAATATCATAATCAACAGTGCTAGGCTGCAGCCCACTAGAATGAGCAGTTATATTATCCCCCAAAGAATGGAAGCCAGAACAAGTCGTAATGTGGCTATCCTCTAGATGATGATAACTCCTCTTGGCACTCCCACCATGCTTGCGACCTTGTTTCTTGTCTTTACTCTTGCTCGCTCGTGAAGATTTGCCATTGCTTTTCTGCTTATTCTTCCCACTCCTCTTGTTGTCACTCCTGTGGCGTTGTCCCTTGTTTGGCACATGCGAAACTGCTGTTGGAATAGGGTCATACACATCGGGAGCCCATGTCACAGACAGCTTCCTGGGTGATTTGCCTTGTTTCTCCCGGCTACCTTTAATGGCAGATACAAGCTTCAAAGTTGTCTGTGAGAGAAGAAAACAAAAAGGAGAAAAAAAAACAAGACAGTTAACCAACAGAAAATTGGCAATAACTTCATTGCTCAACCCTGAAAATATCCCAACACAGAGTCACCCCTGTGTATGAGTTAGTATTTGTTTGCTCCAATGCTGTTCCAAAACACTGTTGCTTCAGATGGCTACAGACTCCAGAGCTATGTGTAAATAAGATAGGGAGAGTGATAATGTCACAGAGCACGCACAGCATGTGTTGGAAAAAACAAATAGAGGAAATGATGACTCGTCATATTGGATAGACAATAGCCCTAAGAGCAGAGAACTGGTAAAATCCAAAAGCAACCTACCAGCACAAGGAAGAAAAAGGTAGCCAGACAAGCAATATACATAAAGGGTACAACTGAAGGAAACAAAACGCTTCACATGCGTAAGGTTCAAATATCCTCCTACAAATTATTCTGACACAATAGATGTCCCATCCCCAAAAATGTGAGAGCAGGATCCAAGTGAACATTGAGATGAACAAAGCCAAACACATACCCCTAAAGAAACAAAACATGCACATAAACCATTAACACTTCCCACTATTAATGTTCATGATGATTACCGAATTCAGAATGTATCCTGCTCTATTAAGGAATACTAAAGTAAGCAGACAACAAATGAATTGTCTTATATAGTTATATAACAATTAACAAAGGACAGCTTTGAGTGGACTATAAACTTTATTAAAAGCAGGAAGTATACTTTCTGGTTATTTTTGAGGTGTAGCAAATCCTTTATCATTATAATGTAAATGCATGAAACTTGACCTTAAACGTCTCAAGACACAGAACTCACAGGCAAAGATATGGAACGTGAATAAGGCAAGTCAGTTGAGTTAGCATCAACTTCCTGCTCCTTCTGCCCATAAACCAACTCAGAAGGGGGAGTGCTCATACTAGAGCATGGAAATGTTGCAGACTTGATCAAGCCTTTTTCCGAGTCCACAATGCCAGTGCCATTTGCATCAATATCTTCACTTCCATCTTCCTCCAATGTGTTGGAATTGTCCTTATCAATCAAGTCTTCACCATCCTCAATATTCAAAGATTCAGAGAGATGGTGCCCAAGATCATTAACATAAGGACCTCCTGGATTGCCAGAAGCACAACCAGGAGTCTCCTTCGATGACTCACAAAAGCCTCTTACACTTCCGAAGTCCGACTTGTAATTAGCAGAACAAATGTCCATCAATTAAAAGAGAGCAGCAAAAGATCTGCACAAACATGAAACCAAATTCTCAGCACTAAACAAGAATCATAATTTGAACAAAACAACAGCAACAACTACCTCTAAGTCCCAAACATATTAGGGTCGACTATAGGAATGCTCACTGACCAAGTTACTCCATTTAAACTCATCTCAGGCCAATCTAATTTGCTGCACTTTGGGGATGATTAGTTGCACATAACTTAATTGCTCATCTTAAAGTTATCAAATATATTTTTAAACCCTTCAAAGATTTGAACCATCTTGCATGAGTAAAAGCAAATCTAAAGTCAATGGAACAGATTGTGCATTTTATCTTTAGGGATGGTGCATACCAAACAAATACTTCCAAACACCAGCAACCATACAACTGGAATCAAATGTTGCTACATCATGCTAACCGGCTTCATATCTATAAGGCAATTGCACCTTGCCTATAAACATTCTGCCTTAAAAGGAAAATTATGGCTCTCTAAAACAAGAGTTCCTGATCATCTAACAAATTCGTTAATACAAAAATTAACCACAATGACAACAGGAGTACAAGGAAGGATCATTTATTAACTTTATGCATTGTGTAAACATAGATCTACAACCAAAAAACAGTACTATAAACATATATAATTTAAATTTTTTGTCAGGGTGGAATTTGGACTAGCTTGCGTACCCCTCGACTATTCCATTGGGTACCTGCTACCTCCCACCAGGTACAGGTACCACATACTGCCCACCAAAGCACATGTTGGGAGGAAATCACTTTGGTATTTTTTGCCTGGATTTGAACCTGAGACCTCATGGGTTTCCCTCTATTTAATTGACCACCACTACACCACACCCTTGGGTGTGGTAGATATAAAGTAATTTAAATAACCAATTAACCATAAAGCACCAAACAAATGAACCGAGGATATAATTACAAAAATAAAACAATCAAATCACACATCTAGGTAATCATTACCTTTGAGTATGTCGATCGTAAACAACCCTTCAGAAAAAGACTCAACGCTTTTGGTTACAAATACTCGTAAATAGATCTGAAATAGCCGAAAATCCCTCGAAACAAACAGAAAACCAGCAATCCGACAGCTGAAACAGATTCGAAGAAGGAAAAAAAAAGCGAAGAGGAATTAAACGTTAACTAAAATTATTACTACGCCGACGTTTCAGACGATGAGAACACAAAACACCATAAAAAGAAGCAGCATGAGGTAAACTCAACAACACATCCAACACACCACTAGGCGTCACCGAATGCATCGTATATCGATGCGATGCCCTTCGATTTCCCCCAAAACAACCAAATCCCTAATTCCAATAACTCGGCGATCCAATCCAACTCACTCCTCCACACAAAAACACAAAATAATGAATGAAGATGATTGAATTCCTCGGATTTCAAAGAAGCATAACTAGAAATCAAGTAAATCGGATCATTCTTATAGCCCTAAATTACCATCGGATTCAACGCTAGACCAAACAATTTTTTCTTTATTTTTTTTAAAGATATTTGAGAGAGAGAATTTTTGTATTTATAGGTGTATTACGGTGTGCTGCATACGTTTGAAAATAAAGTAGATATTACTGGGTCAATGAATGTGACTGGTCGGTTTATTACATTGCTAATCTTGTTCGTACACGTGTCCGTACGGTAAGATTTCGTTTTCCATTGAGTTTAGATATTTCTAGAACATGGGCTGGAGTTGCAAAGTTCAAACTTGTTGGGCTTCATATATGGGGTCTCTTCATATTTACGTGTGGGGTTGGCCATGGTTGCCTCCTTTTATGCTGAGCAATTTATGCAAAATACCCATTGAGCTTAAATTAATTATCTGTTCTATCTATTCGAAAATTATTTGTAATATATACCTTCCGAATTAAAATTAATTATTCCTATCTACCCGCACTCTTCCCAACTTTTTTTATTCATTTGGCTTTCCTTAGCTTGATTTGGCTTAGCTTAGCTTTATTTGGCTTCGCTTGAATTGGCTTGGCTTGGCCTTACTTGATTTGGTTTGGCTTGCTTGAATTGGCTTGACTTATAGTAGCTTCGTTTGACTTCATTTAGCTGTGTATTAAAAAAAAAGGGTAGGCAGAAAAGGTAATAGGTAGGGGCGGGTAAATATTTTCTGCCCCGTGGGTATTTGCTAAACTTGCCCTTTTATGCTCGAAAAATCTACACGGTAATAACCGCCCAAAAAATAATAGTTAAAAAATATATCTTTTGTATATATAGTTAGTGTATATCTTTTATATATTACGCTAGCGACAGTAATTATATTTTATCAGAACATTATCCAGTCATGTTCTCGACATTAATAACTTCATTAAGATTTACTACTTTTCTAGAAACTAAATTTAAGAGTGAAATAGTTGTTAAAGAAGTATGCTAAAATATATACCCCTTTATATTATGTGTTTATCAAATCAATGTGCTCATATCAAATCAATAGATGCAGGTTATGTGTTTACACATATAATTCTTCAATTGACCATGATTAATTATTGCATATGTTTATCTCATTAAATTACTTAACTACGATAAGCAAGGGCGGTTCTAAGGTAAGGCAAGGCCCCAAAAAGTATGAAGCACTACTGAATTATTATATAATATATGTAATTTATATTACATAATTATTAAAAAACATTTTAAATTTTAATATATTTTAAATTTGTAGAGGTAGGATTGAGTGAGTTAATAGGATAATTTTTCTCTCTTATTAGATTAAACAATATATTCACTTTCTCATCAATTTTGTTTTCCTTCCTCGTTGTATAGTCTTTTTTTTTTTATGTTTCTCACGATTTTACTTTTTAATGTTAACTCAAATTCTTTACATTAGTTATTCCTTTTTATCATATTTGATAGAATCCATACATTAGAAAGCAAGTTCTTTGTGTCTCATCTTTTTTAACTATAAATTTTTCGGGGCAACTATTGCAAGGTTCGAACTCGATATAATGGGCACACCCATTTATCATTTTCACTTAATACTATAGTTTTGTATATGAGAGAATTCAATACCATGACGATAAAAATTTCACAGTGTGTCCTCTTTGGTCATCCCCATTTAACATGTACCACTTTTTAAAAAAAGTTTAATTAACACCCAATGATTGAGTAACTTCGTACATACATACATACATACACACACACACACACACACACACACACACACACACACATATATATATATATATATATATATATATATATATATATATATATATATATATATATATATATATATATATTTCTCTTCTTCTTCGCTACTAATTTCTTCTTCTTTGTATTATGTCACATGTATCCAAGAGCTTTGTTGCTGCTTTTTTCTTCTTTGTATTCATGTCTTATATTATCCAGGAGCCTTTTGCTTTTTTCTTCTTCTTCTTCTTCTTCTTCTTAATTGCAAAACACACATGTAGGTTGTGCTTAAGGTTTTTTCTTCTTCTTCTTAGTTGAAATGAGTTTGTTAGATTTGTTGTTATTTTGACAATTTGATGGTTGAGATTTGTTCTTTATGATATTTGAAAATTATGTTTCAAATTTTGGCTTATTTGAATTAGAATTGGGCGTTAAATAATATGTTGGATTATTAAAATTCAAAGACCAAGTTTATGTTTCAAAACTTAAGATTCGAAGTTCGAAATTGCATTGAAGAGATTGAACTACTTAAAATTTGAATTTTCTGAAGTTGCATTTGAATTAGAAGAACTTAAGATTTGATTTCTGAAGTTGCATTGAAGAGATTGAACCACTAAAACTCTGAAATTTTGAAGTTGGATTTGAAAGGTAGAGAACTTAAGATTTGATTTATGAAGTTGCATTGAAGAGATTGAACTACTTAAGATTTGAATTTTCTGAAGTTGCATTTGAAAGATGGAAGAACTTAAGATTTGATTTCTGAAATTACATCGAAGAGATAAAACTACTTCAGATTTCGGTGTATAAAGTTTATAATTTTTTGTGCAATGCAAGTATAACTTCAAATGGCGGTCCCAAAAGTGGATATTTTGTGCAAATGCCCCATCATGACATGCGCCTAACCCACACATCATATGTACGCTCTCCCACTAGATCAAATCCAATTAGGCTTTTTTGTGTTTCATTATTATATGAATTTTACGAAAGAAGTTTAATGTTCTTTTAATAAATTTCATTTTTGGGCCACCAGTTCTGTTGAGACCACTACCTGACGAACATGTTGTACAACTAGCTTCATCACATGTGGTAACTAAATGACACACTCATTGCTTTAATGTTCATGTCATTGTTGTCTTATTTTAATTGTGACTCCATAAAATTTGATTGAAAATATCAGCGTTGGAGAGCGTGGCTCAAGGAGAAGGCGAGTAAAGCTTTGATTTAGGCCCTCGAGATTTTGAGGCCCAAAAGTTTTTAATAGTGAATTTTATTATTTTAGTGTAGATACTAAAGTTTGCAGAAAAAATAAAAAGTACAAAAATTTAGTAAAAAGGAAAGATAGAAGGACTGTCCATTCTTTAATAATAAAGAAAAAACTCTAGAACTTTCAATTAAACTAAGTAAGTCTTCATATTAGTAAATACAGTTTTTTACAATAATATCAAATACATGTCTAGCATCTTATTTATTTGAATTACCGCTTACCGATATAAATACTAATATTGCTATATAAATTTAAAGGTTTTACGCCATTTAAAAATAGTATATAATATAAACAAGTAAGAAAAAAGATAATACTAACTCTTTCGCATATGTGTTTGTATATATACTAATTTAAATAAAAAGTTATAAGGCCTCTTATTAAAACTTGGTTTTAGGCCATCAATTTTATTGAGGTGTCCTTGCCGATAAGTTAATACAGGTTGATATAAAAATTAAGTGCGGACAAATTTTTACCTCCCTCAACTCCAAAATAAGTGGTTAAAGTTTGACGCACTTATTGAAATTATGGTAACTTCAAAAAAAGAAAAAAATTAATGCGCACTTGAATTTTCTTATATTATATAAAATTGTTGTGATGAAGAAACGCTTATTTTGAATAATTTATTAAGAACCACAATGGAATGGAGTACTATGTATGCTTTCCTTATTTGTTCTTCCGTTCGCTCGTGCAATGGGTACCTTTAGTCTAACGAAATTTCAAATTGCAGCTAAAAGAGTGATACAAGTTAGAAAAAACTTATTCTAGAATTAAGGAGACCAAAGGATTTACTTGACCAAGAAAAGCCTTAGTAGTTAGATCTTAGAAGCCAACGTTGTTTGAATACGACCTCATGGCTCAAAAATGGAAATAAGAAAAGTAAAAGTAGTAGACCCACTTCAAAGGTTAGTATTTTACCGGAAATAATGCCAAAGAGAAACAGGTATGACTGCTGACTCAATAAACTTGTTTCCTTTTAGTAACCTTCTCAATGACCTTTTCAATTTTGGACATTGGCAGATGGTATGAATTAGCATACATTTAAAGTAGTGGTGGCAAAAATAACTTGCCAAAACATGACACACCTAAGTTGTTCAAGTTTAAGCAGATTAGTGACTCGTATATTTATTGACTCACCGAATTCAACCTATCTAAAAAATGGACTGGTTGGGGCGAAATCTATAATAAATTGATACATGAGAAATTTTATACATCCTTTTCTTTTGTGTGTCGGTGTGTTTGATATGTTACCTATACCTATTAAAGGAAAAAATTAGTTTTGTTTGGCAACTAATATATTAAAAGAAAACAAACTAAGAAATAAAATTGAAAAATTAATCTAAATAGTCACTCACCCAACTAATTAAAACCAAACATAATCTACGGATATATAGTATGTATACAATCGTATAATATGTATATCGGTTAGAAAAAATAAACGGTAAATCCGACCAGCAAATTGTGTAAAGATCCCTATTAAAATTTAGTAAGAATTGAGAGGTTGATCTATGACTTTTTTTAGCACATCTTGACTCAACCCATCTTAACTCTCAAATTATCAAATTCAGTTGGTGGCTTGTAATTTATTAGGCAAACATTAAGGACAAAAAGCAAAATCACAGGTAGAGACGAGGCCTGCGTTGCTATATAATGTTTTAAACCAATTAAGGGAAGTTTAAACTATTTCACACTGGCATCTCATTAACATTGATCACCTGAAGTCACCTCTGTATCCACCTTCTCTTGTGCAGAAAACTCCATGATGGTTGTCAGGTTGCTACCTTGACTAAAAGATGGGGAAAAATGGGCTTATTTTTTATGGCAAAATAACACAATCTCGACGCTCAAAATTAATTACGTTACTTTTAATAATAGTTTCACAAAATGCATTCCCATCTATCTGATAATCAGGATAGCACTTGGTATTCTTATAGTACGGTGTTGCTCTCAAACGCACACGCAAGTAGTATACGTGGTCGACAAGTAATATAGGATTGTAAGTTCAGATATCGTACCCATAAGGACTTAGTGATTAACTATCAACTAAATTAAATCAAACAATTAATCTATTCAAGCGAATCCTACCGTATGAATATTTAATTATAAGGAATCTAGAGTAACAACTAAGAGATTAAAGAAAACAAGTTGGCGAA